GACAGACAATGACTTTCTAGCCCAGTAGTCTGGCCTTCTATGGCCCAGTGTGGCTAGACTCTGAGAGAACTTCCCTCATCCAATAACATGTCCTTCCATCATGTTGATTGGTCTGCCCCAGCCAGATCTAAAAGTCTCGTGTTCACATTAATATTTTTGACAAGGTATTAAATGATAAGAACATAAGAGAAGCTAATGTTGGATCAGGCCAATGGCCCATCCAGTCCAACACTCCGCCACACAGTGGCCAAAAATACCAGGTGCCGTCAGGAGGTCCAGCAGTGGGGCCAGGAGATGTCTATATTTGGCACTGATTCTCCCCCCACTTGTTTTACACAGCTCTTGTTTTGCTTTGTAAGTATTAAAGTGAGGATGCCAGGCACGCTGGGGGCGGGCCCACGACCATACAAGGGAAAACCACAGAGTTTTCCCTTGTATGGCCATGGCCCCGCCCCCAGCGTGCCCGGTGTCATAGCATCACTTCCTGGTGACACGCACGCCGGGGCGGGGTTCCCCCCGAGGCCCGATTCCCCGGCATCAGGGAATGGGCCTCTGGGGCAGGGGTTTCCCCGCCCTCCGGGGCGACTTGGCAGCCCTAACTGACCCCCATCCACACACCCTCTCCTGCCACCTGTCTGCACCGGTGCTCCCAACTGCCCAGAGTCCTTGAGGAAGGGCATGTGTGTGACACACAGTGGTGGCGCTCCTGGAGAGAATGGCAGGTGGCACAGGCAACTGAGCATGGACAATCGGAGAACTTGTGAGCAGGAGAAGGATGCACAGGCAGGTGGGGGGCATGCAGGTGTGGGGTGGAAGGGAGAATATGAAGGGCTACTTATTTATTTTATTTATTTATTAGTTCTATTTATATCCCGCCCTCCCCGCAGGTGGGCTCAGGGCAGCTCACATTTGCCGGCGTAATAGAGCCGGTTAGCATAAAACATTTAAAACCAGTAAAAACAATCATACAATATTACTTAAAGTGCTCGCCTTGGTAGTCCATCAATGAGTCAAGGTGGTGTACTATGAGATGACATACTAAGATCCCGACTTAGTAGTATTCCGGTATTGAATGAACAACAGGAGACGAGGCTTGCTCAGTTCTTCTGCATTCTCAGCGAACTTCCTAAGGGTTGATTCTGCACTGAAAATACCAGAAATTGTAGAGCATCATGTTTTAATAGCCCCCCCAATGTTTATATTAAAGGGCCGCGGTGGCTCAGAGGTTAAGATGCTGAGCTGCAGACTGGAAGGTCTGTAGATCAGCAGTTCGAGACCCGAGTGCTGCGTGACAGAGTGAGCTCCCGTCTTTGGCCTCAGCTAACCTTGCAGTTTGAAAGCAAAAACTTGCAAGTAGATAAATAGGTACCGTTTCAGTGGGAAGGTAACAGCGTTCTGTGCGCCTTGGTGTTTAGTCATGCCGGCCACATGACCACGGAAACGTCTTTGGACAGCCCTGGCTCTTCGGCTTGGAACCAGAGATGAGCATCGCCCCTTAGAGTCAGATTTGACTTGTTTTCGAGCAAGCGAAACCTTTACTTTTACCTTTTTTACCTAATGTTTATATTCCTTTTTTTCTTAGGCTGCTGAATTCAAACTCATTCACTATAATACGGGATGATGCCTTTGGTGGTCTTTTTCATCTAGAGTACTTGTAAGTCTATCGTTTCTGTGTATTAAACAAAGCCCTTTTAAATGAGCAGGGCATGGAACAGGGGTCACTGGGGGTGTCGGGGGGAGGTGGTTGTGAATTTCCTGCATTGTGCAGGGGTTGGACTAGATGACCCTGGTGACCCCTTCCAACAATGGGGTTAATCTGATGATTTACCACTACCTGGACCTTGGAAAGCAATTCATGTTGCTTTACCTAGATCGCAGGGCTCTTTTTGTAGCAGGAACTCCTTTGCATATTAGGCCACACACCCTTAATGTAGCCAATCCTCCAAGAGCTTACAGAGCTCTTCTTACAGGAGCTACTGTAAGCTCTTGGAGGATTGGCTACATTAGGGGTGTGTCGCTTAATATGCCCGGGGGCAAGCAGATGCGTGAGCGACTGATACCTTTGCCATCCAATGCAAACTGTAACTTGTAAACCAGGAACAAGTGCAATTCAGTCAAAGGGAGATACATACAGAGGCTCCTGGGATGGGCTCCTGCTTTCCCCTGTTTATTGAAGTGTACAAGGGAAATCCAAACCGCAAGCCCAATCACGTTTCTGCTTCATTCTACAGGTTATAGCTTGCAAAGTGTCCTTCGGTACCAAACGTGCCAGATGGATTCTTACGAGATTGCAGAAATGGCAACTTAAAACTTCTCAAATATTAAACGTTCTGTGGTTGCTTGATGTTGAGAAAGAGTGGCTGGGATCCAGAGGCCCTTCCAGATGGCCCACAACCCCCCCCCCAGAAGACGGTCTCGGATTGTCTTCCTCGATTTCCCCCGGTGCTGCCTTTGCCACGCCTCACGCTGTTTTTGAGACGGAGGCATATTTAAAAGCAGGTGGCGACACGACGGGTGAGCCCACTGCTCCAGGAATAGAAGACAGTCTCACTGGGCACGCTCAGGCCTTCTGGGAACCTAAAGTAGCTCTCTGGATCCCAGCCAATGGGCTCATGATCAGGCGCTGGGGTTAAATCGGTGATCTCATTCCAGAAGTGATGTGATATGTTGGAATTCAATAGAAACAGGCTCTTGATGGTTTTGAAAAACTGAATTAGAGTAAGCCCAGCGAAGGGGTTTCACTAGAGAAATGGAGAGCTGGATGATAGCGGTTTCTTTTCGCGACTTGTGTCGCCTTCCAACGGGTGCATTTTCCTTCTGTGCCACAAGATTAATGAACCAAGGAGGCAAGCCTTGGCCCCAGTCCTTAGCATTCCATAAAGCCACTGCTGCTGTTTATGGAGAGAGAAACACAAGACACCTCACCCGGCCAAAATTAAGCACTTTGATGTCCCAGCTGATTTTGGTAAGGAAGTTCAGCAGATGCTTAAACCTTTCCCATTGAAATAGGTAGGAATTCAGGGCTTTCCCCCCTTCTTTTCTGGGGGAAATGTGCCAGAACAGAGTTCTGGATCCTCTTCGACAAAATTATTTTTAAAATGTTTAGACGTTCGTGAGTTTTCAGTATACAGATCGAAAACGTCATTTCCCTTTTCAAAAATAAAATAAAATAAAACAGCCCTGGGTAAGATTACGTGGCTTTGGCTGGACTGGGATCTACTTTTGTATTTGCATTACAGTGTAGTTTCTATTTTTTATTTTTTTTACTACTGTTATAGAAGCTGTAGTTACCTTGAATGCTGGACAGCATGGTTATAAATGTAAATGAATTAACGTATTAAGTCAAGCAGCGATGTCCTAAGTGACTGCATTCAGCCACTGGGCCAAGTTGGAATGAAACTCCGGCTGGATTCAGACTCCCCGTTTGTGAGGGGTAAACAAATACCAGTTCAGTCAGCAGCCCGTATTCACATGTCACGGACAACTGGAGTTTGTCTGAAAGCCGGAAATAGGGTTGTCAGCCCCCTCATGGGGCAGCGGATTCCCAGATAGGGTTGCCAAGTCCATCTTCCACCCCCAGTGGGGGACTTTGGGGGCGTTCCTGGAGGGGGCGGGGCATCCCGACGTGACGATGTCACGTTGGGGACGTCTGCTGCTTGCCCGGATCTCCAGAAACGGCAGTTCTCTGCACTTAAAGGACCCGGCGTTTCCCTTTTAAGTGCAGGAGCCGGCGTTTCCCCTTTAAGAGCAGCTGCGTTTCCCTTTTAAGTGCACGAAGCTGGCATTTCCCTGCAAGCCTGATCTCAAGCGGAGATCGGGCTTGGGAGGAAACACGGGTTCCACGCACTTACAGGGAGAGAGAGGGGTGGCTGGGGGTGTTTGGGGTGGGGCTTCCCCCGCTGGCCATCTGGCCGGCAGCGGGTAGAACCTCCCCCCCAACGGGGGACCCCCGGGGGCCATCTGGCCGGCAGCGGGTAGAACCTCCCCCCAAACGGGGGACCCCTGGCAAACCGGGGGGTTTGGCAACCCTATTCCCAGACCCCCGTTCCTTTCCCCCACCACTGCTCAGAGTGGCAGCGGGAGAATTTTTAAAATGGCTGCCAGGCCAATGGCATGATGTCACTCCTGAAGAAAGCCTGGATGTGACGTCAGTCCTCTCTAGGAGTCGCCATAGAGTTCTTGGTGATTCCTAGAAAGGACTGACATCATTTCCTGGGATGCCACACTGTTGCTGACAATCACCCCTGTCTAGAGTTGCCAGGTCCCCCCAGGGGATGGGGCGGGCGGGGAGGGCTGTAAGATCCATATTGGGAAACTCTTGAAGATTTGAGGAAGGAGCCCTGGGGAGGACAGGGACTTCAGAGGGGTACAGTGCCAGACCGCCTACCCTCCAAAGTGTTGGCAGAGTAATTAACACAGCAATGATGCACAACCTGATTAAAGAGTAGCGAGCTGTGGTGGCTCAAGTGGTTAAGACGCTGAACTGCAGGCTGTGGAAGGTCAGTAGTTCAACAGTTCGAGACCCGGGTGCCGCATGACGGAGTGAGTTCCCGTCTCTGGTTCCAGCTCCTGCCAACCTAGCAGTTCGAAAGCAAGAAATTGCAAGTAGATAAATAGGTACCACTTTGGCGGGAAGGTAACAGTGTTCCGTGCACCTTGGCATCTAGTCATGCTGGCCACATGACCACGGAAACGTCTTCGGACAGCACTGGCTCTTCGGCTTTGAAACGGAGATGAGCACCGCAACCCTAGAGTCGGATTCGACTGGCTTTCGAGCAAGGGAACCTTCACCTTTACCTTTTAATGGTTTATTTAGGAATGAACATACTTGATAGGAAAGAGGAGAGACACAGATAGGTTCCTAACTACATCTCTAGCCGAGGGAGAGGGTAAGACGAAGTGTGGCACTTCCGAGAAGAAGGGGGAAGTTACCGTGAGAGTAGCAGTCTGGGGATGGACAAGGAATGACGCTTCACCGCAACCCTGTAAAGTAGGTTTGGCTAGCTGGCCTCTAAAGACCCTCAGTGAGCTTCTGTCGCACGGCTCAGAAGGGACGCATGCAACCTTCTGGCTTGCCGCCGCGTTGAGCAAGAGCTTCGATGCCCACCATGAACGGCCCATGTGCCGTTCACACTTTAGGGCTGAGACCAGTGTTCCCTCTAAGCTGAGTTAAGTGTGAGCTAGCTCACAGGTTTTTAGCCTCTGGCTCACACATTTTTGTCTTCGCTCAGGAAGGAGAGCTCCAGAGCAAACTGACTGATGCAGCAGCCAAATTGCTCACTCACAGCTTTTAATGCCAGGAGCTCACAAAGTGGAATGTTTGCTCACAGGACTCCACAGCTTAGAGGGAGCATTGGCTGAGACACCTCTCACGTGGGCAAGGAGTAGGATTGCCAACTTCCAAGTGTGGGGGGGGTGGTAGAGTTCTCCCAGAATTACAACGGATCTCCAGTCTGCAGAGATTAGTTCCCCTGGAGAAAATGGCTGCTTCGCAAGGCGGGCTCTCTGACCCAGTTTGGTGTAGTGGTTAAGTGTGTGGACTCTAATCTGGGAGAACCGGGTTTGATGCCCCACTCCTCCACTTGCACCTGCTGATGTGACCTTGGGTCAGTCACAAGCTCTGGCGCAGCTGTCCTTGAAAAAGAGCAGTTTGTGTCAGAGTTCTCTCAGCCCCACCCACCTCACGGGGTGTCTGTTGTGGGGAGGGGAAGGGAAAGGAGCTTGTAAGCCGCTCTGAGACTCCAAGTGAAGGGCGGGGTATAAGAAGAAGAAGAAGAGATTGGATTTATACCCCTCCCTTCACTACCCAAGGGAGTCTCAGAGCGGCTTACAAACTCCTCTCCCTTCCCCTCCCCACAACAGACACCCGGTGAGGTGGGTGGGGCTGAGAGAGCTCTTGACAGGAACTGCCCTTTTTCAAAGACAGCTGTGCCAGAGCTTGTGACTGACCCAAGGTCACATCAGCGGGTGCAAGTGGGGGAGTGGGGAATCATACCCGGTTCTCCCCAATTAGAGTCCGCGCACTTAACCACCACACCAAATTGGCTCATCCAATCTCTTCTTCTTCTTCTTGTTTGGCGTCACGTGATCTCCACTCCCCAAGCTCTGACTTGCCCCCAGATATGCCGGAATTTCCCACCCCAGAGGTGGCAACCCTAGTAAGGAGCATGTGCAGAGAGGCTTGTGGTCATGAAATCACAGACCTTTGGAGCCAGGAAAAAGGGGAAAGCACTACTGCAGTGGGAACTCAGGTAGGGTTGGCAGCTTCCATGTGGAAGCTAGAGATCTCCTCGGATTACAGCCGATCCCTCAGGCAACAGAGTTCAGTTCCCTTGGAGAAAATGGCTGCCTTGGAAGGTGGACTCTGCGGCATTGTACTCTGCTGAGGTCCCTCCCCTCCCCAACCCCCCCCCCAG